AGTCACCTCATATGCATGTGAGAGGTGGACAGTGAATAAGGAAGACCAAAGAAGAGTTGAAGCTTTTGACAGTGAATAAGGAAGACCAAAGAAGAGTTGAAGCTTTTGAGTTGTGTTGGAGAAGAATTCTAAGAGTACCATGGTCTGCTAAAAAGACTTAACAAATCTGTCCTGGAAGAAGTGCAGCTGGAATATTCCTTGGAAGCGAGAATGGCCAAACTTTGTCTGACCTACTTTGAGCATGTTATCAGAAGGAACCATTCCCTGGAGAAGGCTATCATGCTTGGTAAAGTGGAGAGTCAGTGAAGAAAGCAAGGGCCCTCAATGAAATGAATAGACACAGTGGCTGCAACGATGGGGTGAGGTATAGCAAGGATCGTGGTGCTGGCACAGGGCTGGGCAGTGTTTCTTTCTGCTGTGCACAGGGTTGCTATGAGTCAGGTATGACTTGACGGCACCTAACAACAATAACAGACTTAATTTCTGTTGGTGTGGTAATGCAAATTAGTCCAACTTGCACCCTAATTTTCGTTCAGAAATAACTTAGTAAATATGTTTCTAGAATTTACTTTTCTGAAAAATCATCAATCCTTTTTAAGGTTGAATTCTTTATTTAAAACTTGACTGTTTATTAGCTGTGGACATGTAATGCACTAGCTGTGGACATGTAATGCACGCACTGTGGTAGATATGGCAGTGCTATGTTTTGAGGCCTTGGGAAAGTGAGCTGCAAATTATAGTTCCTCATGTAAAACCATGGTGCCAAGAAAGCCACAACTATCGTTAGCCCCATTATATCAAGAAAGATTGAACAGAATTTGAGAATTACAGTAAAGAGAACCTAAAAATTAAAGGTATTTGGACAGGTGTCTTGAGCATGAAAAATACTCTTGCAGTGGACTTTGGTATCGCCTGAGGCTAGGGAATGGTACTGAGCTACAGATCAAAGCCCTGAATATTAATTCAGCTCTGTGGCTGACTGGCTGAGTGGCCTTGGGCAAGTCTCTTTGGTTTTGCCTCATGGGTAAAATTAGGGGGATAAAGAAAATAAATGCTTGGATTTTTTTTAATCTCTAAAATTCTGTGCCTACTGGTGGCATAGTGCCTAAGGCATTTGACTGCTAACCAGAAGGCTGGCGGTTCAAACCCACCAGCCACTCCTCGGAAGGAAGGTTAGGCAATCTACTTCTGTAGAGAAACCACCTTGGAAACCAAAGGAGGGGTCGCTATGAGTCTAATTGACTCAACGGCAGTGAGTTTGGTTGTTTTGGTTTTATTCTACAGAAGACTTAAGAATACACTTGAAGTTAATGTTGGGATTTGTGCATGCTTCACTCTTCTTAAGTAATACCAGGAAGTGGTCTTAAATGATGATTGTTGTAATATCATTATTCTATTCTGCAACATTTTTTGTCTTACACTAGTTGCTCTCCTTTGGTGAAAAGCAGTGTGTGTTCATCAGTAAAGTTGTGGTACATGTGAGACCGGTTACGGCAAGTTCTTCACCATGCTGTCCTACTCTAGGATCAAGGATAGACCTAGATGGGTTTCAAACTATAATGGAGTCCATGGGGTCAAAATTGTCTCCTGGAGCTCAACAGATGCTGGATATGATTAAGTTTCAGCAAGGGGTGAGTAGAAATGGACTTCTTACTAGATATCATTACTAAATTCCAAAACACATTGCTTCTAATAAGGATGTTGAGTGACAGATGGAGTTGCCAGGAGTTAGAACTGACTTGATGGCAACTGATTTCTGGTTGGTAGTGACTTAGAATTTTTTCTTTGAATTTATATTCTTGACTTAATTTTTATCTTTATTTAGCTTTTTAAACATAACAGTATATAGATCCACTCAGAGTGTTTTGACTGTAGATTTTCCATGAATTCATTCACTCATTCATTCAGCAAGTATTTATTAAGCACCTTTGAAATAAACTAAGCATGATTTAAGCATATGTGAGAGTGCTGAGATAATCAGTTAGTCTATACCATGTCTTGAAGGGTCTTTACAGTCTCGTTAGGTGAATTAGTACATGGAAATGAAGGATGGCTGATCAGAATAACCTTCCTGAGTGAAGTGACATTTCACCTACACCTTTGAAAAAGAATGGTAGGCTTTGGCAAGTTAATTTGGAGGGAGGCAGTCCCAGATAAAGAGCCTTTCCCGCCAAACTTCCATCATAGTTTGATCAGAGACCTTTAGACACTTTTGTTGTCTCTCACCAGCTATTGAGCATAAGTGTGGATGATATCTCTGGTGAGAATCGACAGTAGAGTTCTATGTTTTGATTGTAGGATATTGCCATAGACATTACAGTTCACTGTGCTCGAGATGGGACCTTTGGTGGTGCAATGGGAGAATCGACAGTAGAGTTCTGTGTTTTGAATGTAGGATATTGCCGTAGACATTAACAGTTAGCTTCGTCCGAGATGGGACCTTTGGTGGTGCAATGGTTAAACATTTTGCTGCTAACCAGAAAATCAGTGCTTCAAACATACCATTGGTCTTTGGGAGAAAACTGGAAATCTACTCATAATGGGAGCTCTGGTGGC